CCAATGCCGTCTCTATTAGAATAGCCACGGGGCGAGATTTATGACGTCACGCTAGTTAGATACTACGGATTAATAAAAATGTTGTAGAATACATGGAAAACATAATTATTCCTCGTATTTTTGGTTTGTATTTTAAAAATGATATAGTTTACATGAAATATACATAATGTACAGTTAATAAATACAATATAATATATACCTATTTGAAACTATGAACCATACTGGTAATGAACCATACAAATGCAGCAAATGTTTTACAATATACATGAATAGGTGGTACATAAGATAATGGGTAAAATGTAAAAATATATTTTAAATTTTTGGGGTTTGAAAATCGATCTAATTTAACAAAAAACCATTCGATAGCTACTAATAGTGATGTATTATTATTTGCATTCACAAAATTTATTTATATATTATAATGTTTACTGCAATTAATAAACTAATATAAACTTGTCAAAAGATGACCACATATTTTTTTAAATTATTATTCTTAACACAAAAACTATCTACATTGACTATGGAGTACGATTTCAGTCATATTGTAAAACATTTGCTGCATTTGTATGGTTCATAGTTTATCTGCCAAAGTATTTATTAATATAAATAGGTATATATATTGTATTTATTAACTGTATATTATATATATTTCATGTAAACTATATCATTTTTAAAATACAAACCAACAAATCGAGGAATAATTATGTTTTCCATGTATTCTACAACATAGTTATTAATTTGTAGTATCTAACTAGTGTGACGTCATAAATCTCGTTGCTAGGCTGTTCTATTAGAGACGGCATTGCGTCAGCATGGCCGCAAGTTGCTAACCTAATAAAATTAACACTAGAAAAGCCCGCGGGAACTGTCAAATTCAAAGTTATTCGTTTTACAGACTATACCTATGTGATATGTAATTACGCATTTCTGTTCATCTTGTAGATAATTAATATAGGCTGTAGGCTAATAATAGTTCAATAATCATAATTTACCTTGTGTAACTTGCTTTCAATTGCTCAAAATCACCGATCAGTCTTTAAAGTAGAGATACGGAAAAATCCTTGGTAAAGAATATCCCAAGATCCTTGGATCTAAAGCTAAAAAATATATAAAACAGTTAATTTATTATACCTATTTTTTACATAAAATATGGTCCATACCTACTACGCGCAGAAACGTCGATTTCATCATTTTTCTTCATGTAATTAATATCATATATACTTTATTAAAGTGTTAACAAGGAACTTTATATCAAAAAACATCTTTGTACTTATAAATTTCAGCCGAAATATCATAAACAAACTTCCATTCAAATCTAAAACGGCAAAAAATTAAAATGGCGCCCGACCTTTGCCAGAGGCCTCGGGAGTTGACACATGGCTGACACACAGACAAAAGAAGAGGACGCCGACGTGCATAAAAATGTTCCGTAACTGAAATTGACAGAAATCATATAGAAATATTCAGATTTTTGTCTAGGACAGTCTAGAAGGCCATGCTTTCTGCCTGGGTAAGACCGCGCCAGAACTGTTTCCAATTTTCCGGTTTACTGTCACCTTCCTGGTGTCAACTCTGTGTTAAATCGTGGAAACACGATACGCCACCGAAAGCCTTCGTTGTCGTCTGGAGAACTAACTTTCCAATTGACAGGTTGACATGATAAGGACATGATGGCTTAATTTTCATTTCCGTTTCCGGTTATTCAATGGCGGGCCCTCTTTCAGTTCAAATGTATTTTGTATTTTTCTTTTCATAAATAAAACAAAAAATAATTTATTCACATATATTTATTTGAAATATGGAACAACGTGACTAAATAAATATAAAATATAGAGAGACTGTATTGATTCAATACCAATTAGTTAATTATATGCACTTTTAACGTAAATTAGTTAAGGTATAAGCATGACTTACAGTAATTTGTAAATAAACACACGCATTCGCAAACTTCAAGGACAGAAAACGGACACAGGAACATGAAAACGGGAGCCTTATACAAAAACCTGGAAACAGAAAAACAATTTATTTTATACTAAAATTAACAATGTAAAAATATCAATAGATATAAAATATAAATATACTGTTTAAAAAAAGCGTCCATTATTCCCAAAGAACCTGGCTTATAAATCAAAAAGATGCAAAAAGAGACTTTTAGTCGGATAACATAATCAGATTATTAGTCCGATTTATTGCTTTATTGACAATAAATCGCACATACTGGAGATAACTAATGTTGGCTATAGTTAAAAATGATCTTACCTTGCTGTAAATTGTTTCCATTTTCAAAAAATCGCCGATCAAAGAGATTATAACACCATTTTCTTGCATCTAAAAAATGTAAAAACAGTGTTTATTTACTACCTATTTTTCATATACATGGGACATACCTACTACTGCAGAAACGTCATTTTCTCCAGGATTCTTCATGTAATATATATTTTATATACTTTATTACCTTTATATTTATAAATTTCAGCCGAAATATTAAATTGAACGAAACTAAACGGAATGAATTAAAATGGCGTCGAATATTTTCGAATTTGTTCTAGAACAAATCTGAAGTTGTCTCTGAAACTGAAATCTGTCAATTCTAAACTGTGAAGTTAGACAATAGTTAGACAAAAACAATGCTGTCCTTGTCTAGGCGACCATACTTGTCGTGAGGAGAATGACAGGAATGACACTAATGACTGTTTCCAATTTTCCTATTTCACTGTCACCCCCCTGGTTGTCCCTCTCTTTGCCATTTAATTTGCCAGTCTCTTTTTATTTGTTTGTCTATTCAGTTCACACAGCTTTTTAAGTTTTTAATGCCACCTTTTCACAATTATCACGGGTTTGAGTAAATAAAATTGAAATTAAACTCACAAGATAGCAATAACTACTTTGAAAATGAACGATTTAATCACTTTTTGGTATTTTTTCAATGAGGGCAGTTTAAATTTTGAAAGATTTTATAATTTTTGATTCTGACTTTGACAAGAGAAAATTATTTCTGTTCTTGTTTACGGTTGTTCTTAGCAACCGCTATAACAGCGCCAGATCCCGTACGACGTATGCAACACAAAACAATTGAAGGAATGTCATTTTGGCCTTTGATTATCACCCGTCAAGAAAATTTTTGATTAGAAATCAAAAGTTTATTGTTTTATAAGCTAAATATTATGCTTTCTCTATGGATACAGCAGACTACCTCTAGCTGTTGCTAGGATATTTTATTAATTTTAATTGTATTTTTTAGACATTGTGAATGATCGTAAACTAAAAAGTATAAAGTGTAATTTAAACCACTAATTAATTCCACTAATTGGGAGATTCTGAATGAAACTTAACGATTTGATATTGAAGAAAAATGTGGGTCGATTTCGGCATAATTGGGGACGGGCTACAGGATGACGCCCTTGACGTTTAAAACTGTTTATTCCAGAGAATAGGTACATTAAAGAAATGCTAACTTCATGTTAAAAAATGGAAACAGACGCCACCTGGTGTCGCCTGGCAGTACTAGCTAAATTGAGGGGAATTAGAGGGGCGGGGCTTAAAAGAGGGGAAATTTTTAAAAAAATATTTTTATAAGTATCACTGACTTACTGTTTAAAGTTAATAAACATATTTTTATTACTTTAATATAATTTAATGTATTAAAAAATATGTCTATTAACTTTACACAGCAAATCAATGATATTATTAAAGACTTATTATTTTCAGAGAAAATTCATAGTAAATAAATTACACATTAGTAAACAATATCATTTATTTTTTAGAGCTGCGATTTATATTACAATAATATTGAAATATATATATATTTTTTTAACAATGAAAAAGAATATCCCGGAACCTGAAAAAGAAAGATGATCCATTAATGACTTAAATTAGTTGAAAATACATTTTGCAAATAACTAGTGAATTGGAAAAATAAACATACTATTAAAAAGAAATTTTAGTAGTATGTTATCATCTATTTACTGATAATACATAAGTATATAATAGGTAAATAACATGCATAATGCACTATGATACAACTACCTGTATCATGATAACACACTAATATCACAAAAAATATATGCTAATTTAAATTCCTTTAATGATCTAATGAAACACTATCTAGCCTCAATGCATGCCATTCCAAAGGCAAAAAAAAACTGTTATACCAAATAAATATAAGCTGAATAAAAAACATAAACCAAGCCAACGTGCATAAACAACCAAAATGCATCAAAAAATACTTTTATCAGATCATACCCTTGGATATATTATGTATTTTATATATCGCACATCCCGTTCAAAAGTTTACTAACTCAAAATAGAGAATATAGAGAACATTGTCAGGAGAAGTAAAATAAAATTTAAGTTAAAGCAATATGCTCCTTTTTGCATATTAATGGCCAAATAATATAATGTTGATTTAATAAAATTTTACTGGCATCCTTCTGAGGTATAAATCAGATTAAAAGGACATTGTTTTTGTAAGGGTAAGTTTTCAACGGGCTGTGCGATATAAACAAGGATCTTACTATTATTTGAGGTTAGAAAGTATTTAAATAATATAAAACATAATCAAAATCATTTTTCATCATAAATTATAGAGGTACTTACGAGTTTTGATATTATTATCAGGAAATAATACGTTTAGTTAAACAGGTACGCTGCCAGGCAAGTTCTCTCGGCGGGTCTTTGCAAGAGTTGAAATCTAAAAATACAAAAATACGTTTACATCTTAGTTGTATTTACGAATAAAGTATTTGTGTGTAATTTCTGACTTACCAGTTAACTGAATAATCGCATTAAATACATCCAAATGGTAATTTAATATTGTAAAAAAGCAAAACTGTTTTAAATCACTTGCCAGGACAGCCCGGCCAGCTTCTTTGTTGGCAAAATGGCCGCGGTATCATGATTTAAGCAATGCGAGTGACAAAGAAAGCCAATGCCTGGCAGATGTTGCTTTCTTTGTCGTTGGTCCTGGCACGTTTAAATTTGACTGTTGCCTGTTTTCCCATACAAGTGACACCCCAAGTGGTTTATTCTATTAGGTACCCCAAAAAAATATATTTATAATAATAATAACATGCTATCTAACGTAATTACCAGAAATTTATCATCATCGATTTTTGCTGGAAACGATGTTTGATCGCGATAAAATGTAAATAGTTCTGTGTCCTTTATTTAGATGTCTTTGGCGTAAAGCATTACATTGAATCAAAGGTAGCCGATAAAATTTTATTTTATATTTTTTAATATTACATTAGGTACTTTTGTTTAGTTCGAGACAATAAAAATGAAGATAGAATTTAGTACAAGTATGTGAAGGATTGTGGCTTGTCCAAAATGTATAGTCCATGATCCGCTCATCAAAGGAAATATTTGTTTCTTTGGCGTCTTTGGAAGAATTTTGCATTTGAATTTACCATCCCCGATAGACTTGGTACATTTTCCTAGATTGCCTCTACTAACGCAATATCGTCCAGGTTTAGCTATAAAAAAATGAGTACGTACGCATATTCTCTGTCCATTGTTTGTCTGGCAAAATTCCTCATAAGTATATCCTTCGACATCTGGTCTTGTTTGTGGAGGGTTATTGGTACCACTTACTTGATTTACAAAATATTTAAACGTAGCTGCATCATTCTTTTTGTTTAATAAATCACGCGTTACCAACAGAGCAGGTTTGCATTGATTCCCTATCTGGCAACATGCGTGGCAAGATTCTGCTGCACACGCGCATTCTAGAAGGTTTATTCTTGTACATTCGTAACTATGACATTGATTTTTGATACATCGACCTCTTATTCCACAATAACAGGGTTCTGTTCCATTTGTGCAAGGACATGTCCGTTCAAAGTTTTTACAGTGCTTCAAAAATAAATATAAAAAAATTAAATTTAATTTAATTAAAGTTACCAAACAGGTTTAACTTGTTAATTAAGGTTTTTACCAAGTTGTCCAATATTGCGTATTTGCATTCATTGGTACAACAAATTCCTTGAGACGGATGACACTGGTATCCTTTTTTCCTGTTCACCTTACACGGTCGTTCGTTAGTTTGTCTTGGCACACAGCAAGGATCCTTTTCACATTGCGATCTCATACCGCAATCGCAATCTTCGTCTTCCTCTACAATTGCTAAAAATATGTTCTTTTATCGAATTAAGTTTCAGAATAATATTTCTTATCTTATTGACACAAAATATAAACGTTACCCTGTATGAATATACCTTTAAGGTAATCGCAAAACATTTTCCGATGCACGTTATCAATCATATTGAAATTGACACTGAAGCCTATAAACTTGACTAAATGAAATTTTGGCAAATATGTTTAAATTTGTTGTATAATTTAAGTTACCGAGCAGCTCTTCATTTTATTTCATAGAGCAAATAATGATTGTGACATTTTATTACCCAGGTATGCCCTTCCATTCTGGGGTGCGTGTTGTGCGACTCAATTTGACCGCATTTTCAGGCTCCAGAAGAGAGCTGTTCGATATTCACTGGGACTAAACAGCAGAACTCATTGCCGGGACTTTTTTAAAAAATTAAAAATATTGACTCTTCCTTCCTTATTTATATTTGAATCCGTTTGCCTAATACGTAAACATGTATCAGCTTCTCAAGAAAGGCCATCTCACACTTATCCACTCAGGAACGCGGAGCAAGATATTTATCTACCTACCCCACGCTCAGAGTTAGTTAAAAGAGTTCAATATTATACAACTCGAAAAAAATGCACAATCACCTGCCATTTGAAATCAAATCCATAACATCATTTTTTTCATTTCGCAAAGCATTGAACTCTTATTTACTAGACAAGGCTTTCTACGCCGTAAATGAATTATATTTTCAAAATCAAATTTGATCTTGTAACACTGGTCTAATGTTTGCTATTGCTATATTTATTAATGACATCGAAATGAATTTATTTAGAGGTCATTGATATTTTACTATAAACTAGCTAAATATTTTTGAATATTATTTTTATTTTTTGTTCTTTGACATTATAAACATTTATAAATGTTTATTTTAACAATAAGACTGACAATATTATTTGTATAATGTTTTGTATTATCTTTTGTTTGTTAGTTTACCTTTGTCTACAAATTGAAAATTTTTTTGACAATAAAGGCATTTATTTATATTTATTTATTTAGATTAAAGCTGCAAAAATTAGTTTAAGGCGATTTTTTTATCGCCATTATGGTCACATTGCGCCGCGATCAGCAACGTTGTCGTGTGTTATTTGAAAATTATCATGTCAGTCATTATTCTGTTGTATTGTTGTTGGAAGTAATTCACGTTTTTGCCGACTTTGATAGTATTTTTTTTAATTTTACTTTTAGGCACAAACAGTTCTTTTAAGAACTAAATTTTCGAGTTTTTGAATTGCATTTCTTGAAATTGTGTTTGAAAATATGCCGAAGCATTTAAACGGTCGAAGCAAAGAGCTTGAAGCTTCCCTGATATCCTGATTAACTATTTTGAATGAGAACGTGACAATATACGAGCCCTAACAACTATATGTTGGGACAAGGTCATATTTTGGAATTATTGCCCTGGTTTTTCAAAATGATACATTTTGCAACTTTATTTTTTTAAATATAAACATAGCCATATATCCTAACAACTTGACAATATTTTTATGTATTTGTAAATCAATCCATATTTACAGTAGCGGATTTTGTTCATAAAAGGACAAATTTGCTGACAACTAAATGTTGGGACAAGTATTTTTAAATAATTAATATCATCATAGGCGGCTTTGCTATAAACGTCACAAATGTCATCAAACTGTTTACTTCAGCATTGACAGCTTGTAAGTAACTCGATACTTTGAGTGAGTAGATTTACTGTAAGTAATTTTACTTTTTAATTTTCAATTTTGTTAATTTAATTCAAAGTAATGGTCCGTGGAAAAGCTACAAATCAAAAACTACGCGAAATTTTCATTCGTCAATACAGTACGGGAAAAACATTTCGAAAAATTTCTGATGATTTAAGTATTCCAAAAACCACGGTCTTTAATATAATAAAAAATACGGCGAATCTGTCAATGTAGACGTTAGAGGTAAAAGTTCAGGAAGGTCAAAAGTTGAGAGATCAGAGAGATTTACGAAATTTAGTAAAAATTTTGCAAGTCTGCGAGAAGTTACTCTTCTCAGTAACAGTTAAATGGAATACTGTAACTGGTTTAAATATATCAAGAGAATGTTGCCGAAAATATAGTATCCATAAATGCGGTCTGGGGTTTTACAAGGTAAACTTTATTTTGTGTGGATAATCAATTACCTGACGATTATTGAAGATACAAATTCTTATTTAGGCCAAACAAAAACCGCTACTGACAGAAATTCAAAAGAAAAATCGCTACAATTGAGCAAAATCTAAATTATCGTGAACACAAAATGATTGGAATAAGGTCATATTTTAGTGATGAGTCTAAATTTGATGTTTGCGTTGGAGATCATCGAAAACGAATAACACGAAATAAAAGCAGAAGCCTTTCATATAAAGATTGCTTAAAGAGGGTTGTTAAATTTCCTAAAGGGATTATGGTTTGGGGTTGCATGTCAGCAAGAGGTTTGGGCAAATTAAATTTTATAGATGGCACTGTTAACGTCCAAAGATATCAACATATACTTGAGACCTCACCTTTGCCTAGTGCTCAAGAATTGTTTCTAAACGAAGACTATATTTTCCAACAAGATCGGAGCATCGTGCCATTCAGCAAAATCAACTAAAAATTGGTTCGGTAATAATAATATAAAAGTTCTATCCCATCCTGCAAGTAGTCCGGACCTCAATGTTATAGAAACTGTGTGGCATAAAATGAAGCAATATTTAAGAAATCACCCTCAACGAACAATTTTTGATTTGCGGACAAAACTGCGGGAAATTTGGGATAATTTTTCTCCTCAAATGTGCCAATCTTTGGTAAATACAATGCCATTAAGTGTTCAGGCAGTTGTTAAGGCGAAAGGTGATGTAACTCCGTATTAAACAAATTTCTTGTTGTGCTGTCCCAATATATAGTTGTCAGAAAATTTGGCTTGATTTTGGCAAAATAAGCTATTATCAAAAGTGATTTGTTTGCAAAGTTATAAAAATGTAGTAAAATTGTCTAGATCATATTGTAATGTTTGAATTTAAAATAATAAACAAAATAAATGGAGTCGTTTTTACAAATTCCTATTTTTATTGAAAAAAAAGACCTTGTCCCAACATATAGTTGTTAGGGCTCGTAGGTCCTTTACTACCCTTGACTGCGGTCAGAGAAGTAAATTTGATTCATTATGCCACTTTCAAAGTTATCTCTACTTATTTTCGCTTTGTTGCGAGTAGCTGCTGCCTTAAATTTAAATATTTATACTGTGAGTGTTAATGACTACTGTTAATAAATAAATTAATTACTAAAATATTAAATTAAATTCAAAATAAAACCGAAAAAATCTTTAAAAAATGATATAATAAATATATTATTTCCCAATTTTACATTAAGATTCGTCTCATAAATCCATCACAATCTGGCAGCGCTGTCGCCATCGTTTGTCACTCAAAGTTGATCGCGTGCATCGGAAATTGTTTTGCGATTACTTTATGTCCCCGGATTGTTTTTAGAAGAGGAAAAACTTTTGTAAAAATAAATGCATTCTTCATAAAAAAATTGCTTCTTCTAAAATGGTTAGTCCCTTTTATATTTTTCTAAAATTCCATATCGTTTTAGAGACAATAAAAAATATGAAATTATAGTTGAATTTTTTCTAAGGCCTAAAAATCAAAACCCATACGACACGGAGTATTGTAGCTAAACGATTAGATTTTTACAAATTGTAAGTTTGGGGTTCGTTCAAGGACTATTAGAGCTACAATTTAAAAATATTTTTACAAGATACAGAGTGTCCCAAATAAGTAAAAAATATTATACTTGTATTTTTTTTAATCGAACACCCTGTATATTATTCTATTTTTGGATTCTACGATTGAAATAAAGGTAAATTTGATTAAGGTTTATCACACTTAAACCTTACCGTTTTTGAAATATTTTCATTTTTATGAAATTGCAGTAAAAATTTTAAGGCTTCATTTCTCCAAAGGTATCAAAGTTTTTAATACTAAATATTTTCTGAAGATTATTTATTGATCAGATATTGTGTTTTAATAATAAAAATTTTACCACCTTATACAGAGTGTCCAAAAATTTATATTAAATAATTACTAGCTTTAAACGGCAATAACTTGTTTAATTTAAATGGAACACCCTATATATTTTACGTGAATCAGATGCACAATGTAACTGTCTATCAAATTGTATTATACTATTTTTTACCCATCTCTTCAAGTGTTCGTAGAAAATAGTTCTTATAATTTAGACCTCATTTATCACTATACCCATGGAATATTGACATTTCAGATTTTTTTAAAGCAACATATATGTACAAAATGTATTGCAAGCCCATTGGTATACAAAAAAAAAAAAAATCTTTGTGAAAGAGTATACCTACTAAATTAATTAAATTTATTAATTTATTAATTAAATATACCTACCACCATTATTTCCGACCAAAAATTAGTCAATTACATACTTTTAAATTGTTTTAATTAATAAAGTATTCTAAATAAATGTGAATTTGGCTCAGAAATCAATATAATAATAAGTTATGAAAACGAACGTCTCTGTTTTTATAAACAAGCATTCGTCAAAAAATGAAATAAAATTTATAAAGCGTTACTTTTTACCACACCGTCTAATACACACACAAAATTCAGTTTTTTAGTATTTAGAGCAATTATTATTAATCAATGTAAACAGTCAATTAATGTAGGGATCATATTAATTGGTCCTTTTTAACAAACAATATTTAAACAGTTTTTTTTTATTTTTTAATGAAATAAGCGAACTATATCGACAATAGTAGTAACTGTACTCTTTGAAAATGTGTTACATCTTTAAAAATAATGTAAAATGTCAATATTTCATGGGTATAGTGATAAATGAGGTCTAAATTATAAGAAAATGCATTTTCTACGAAAACTTGAAGAAATAGGTAAAAAATGGTATAATACAATTTGATAGGCAATTACATTGTGCATCTGATTCACGTAAAATATATAGGGTGTTCCATTTAAATT